ATTAATTTTATAATGATTTTTATTAAGTTCTGGAGATATAGCTGTTCTTTCTACTTTAAATTTATTACGAAAAATTTCACTAATGAATATAGTGAACACACAAGATAACTTAAAAAAACAAGCAACAGAAATCCCTTTCATAATACAACAAATTTAAGCAACCCTGTTTTTGAAATGTCTTTCAAAATTCTTCATTTCAAAACGTTAAATTGCATTGCTTTTAGACTGTTATAAATCCTTGTCATATATTATCTGTCATTGCGTTGTTTCAAATAAGTTATTTCTGCAGATAGAAATTTCTGGATACCAAATCTTGATTTTTACTTAAGTAAGATTTAACTTAGTAGTAATTTAACGGCATAATGGTTATTTGTAAATATTTTTTGCGCGGCCAGTGTTGGTATGGTTCTAAATGTCGTGATGAGCATGTAGATATTAAATACGACATAAAGGCTGATATAAAAAAGGCTGTTCATGGCAAACAGTGGCAATTGTCGTGCTATGGACCGTTCAAAGGTAAGCCGTGTATACCAGATTATATTGAAGATGTGTCGTTTGAAGAAATTCGTCTGGAGTATTACAAAGTTAAACAGACAAATGATTTTGCAAAGGTTCATCAAGCCGTCACTATGCAATTTGAGGAAGCAAATAACAAAATGAAAGCTCTTTCGAAGGTAACTGCTAAAACTGTAAAAATGTTAGTCAATATTTATGAACATAATGACAAGTCTGTTATGACTGACAAACCTAAAACCCATCAAAATATTTTTGGAGGCAGTGATTTAAAAGCTATGCGCAATATTGCGTCGGTTGGTGATATGCCTGTAGAACAGAGTTTTGCGTCCATTTTTAAAAAATCATACGTACTGGACTCAAATTCAATTTTTAGTGGTTCCCACACCAATTCTTTGTTCAAACAACAAAATTCTGAAATGCAAGCACCGAGCAGTTATATAAATTATTTTGGCCAAGCCTCATATATTGAGCCACAAAAACAGTCTCTTGGTGCATTTGGTCAGCAGCAACAACTGCAATACACGAAATCAATATTTGAACAAGCTAACGGCGCAAATAATATATTTAATTCAAATACTCCAAGTATCTTTTCTAATCAATTTATACAAAATAGTGTACAAACTCAGTCGACTACCACACTTTCTCAAAGCGAAATGCAGCAGATACTACCACCATCTCCTGAACCAATGTTAGTGGATGAAGAGCCTGAGGAGCAGTCGTTTCAGTATCTGATGCAATGATCCCAGTGACTCAATTATATACAACTTGAAGCCTTCAAATCAGATTAATTTAATCCAGGGAATGTGCCAACGAAACCAACACAAAAAAGAATACAAGCATATTAAATAAGAATATATCACATCTCGAGTTTCATAGAACTTGAGTTTACATTTGTAATCAATCTAGAAAATCCAAATATATTTGTTTGCATAAAAATGAAAAGATGGCTTAAGGACGTAATATGAGACGTTCATAAAATATTACTTTACTGATTTTTACTAATGATATCTGCAACAAATTTGCGGATTTATTATTCAAGATATAAGAATATCTATTACAAAGTAAGATCACCAATCCTGTATCTAATGGAATTAACATATAAATAAAAAACAATTTTTGCTATAAAATCCAGTCGTCTTCTAATACGTTAAGGTTATGTTATGTTAAAGTGAATTAGAACTTAGTAACCGGATCTGCTTTACTCAGTGGGCCAAGTTGTCGATCTGATGAATACTGAATTTCGGAACCTGATATTTTTAACTGATTATTTCTTAGTTTATTTAGGTCTAATAGTAATGAGAAATTTTTAATATTTATTTGACTATAGGGCAATAATTATTTTCTACTGTTAATAGCATCTAATATAACAACATCTTGGCAGACATAATATATGCAAACGCCTTCAAATACACCCGGCATTATGTTGAAATATATATTTTCTGTTATATGAAATATATCAAGTTCACTAAAAATACAATTAGAAATAATTCCAAATTCATGAGTTGTTAAGCAATAAATATTCTTCAAGTGTATACTTGGTTCGTACATTTTGCTCAAAGTCACATATTTCTCGGCAGTTTTAAGTTTTCTGGAATCTTATTTGGCAAGAAATATTCTATAAGACTGGGAAATGAATGATATTTAGTATAGCACAAGTTTACAGTGTATTGAAATGAAACCCATACGGATATTACTTTCCATTTTAAGGACGAAAAGTTTGCACTAAATGAAATGAGTTATGGAACAGTTACATTAGCTATATATTTTTGATTAGTAGTTCCTTATTTAGTAAATAAAAAAGTTCAGAAAAGCAATTAAATTGAAATTTCGGAGACAGCATGTATATATCCAGCTGTGCTGATTTAAACAAAATATCGCCTTCCGATATTTTTGCATTAACAATGTTTTGAATTTGAAACCTTGTGGGTCCTGAAATATATTCATAATTTATATAATCTTAAGGAACTGGTGTTCTGATTTTATTTCATTAAATGGTCCGGAATAAAAACTTTTGAAATCGTACAAGTCCTTTTTGATGTTTGAATTACAACTGGTAAAAAATAAATTGAAATATCTGAAATCAATTTGGATGTCCTACTTCACTTATTCATAACTTTTTTATATACCATAAAAAAACATTTAAAATTTTGCGACCTGTCTCTAGAGCAGCAATAAATGAATATTTGTGTAGTGATTTTTAAAAGAATATTTAGAAACCTTATATATTCTCTTTTGAAAGTCAGTAAATGGTTCGTTTGTTAAATGGAATGAATAGTACTTATTTATGGTTCGTCTATCTTCCTCTCGTAATCGTTTATGGTTTTCACTTATATTATAAAAGCTTCTTTGGGATCTAAAATTGTTAATTTAATCTTATTAAGACCAAATTTATCAGAAAAGTGAGCATTTGATTGCAAAACTGAAACTAAAAGCGCCGTAAAAATGCTATCTTCTGAATCCTTTTTGCTGCAAGTTGGTTCTTTAATATTTTTAAATTTCGTTTGAAAAATGGACTCAGTTACTAAATAGAAGATGCTTCTTTTCAGGAAAGAACAGTTTGAAATCGATGTTTATCTACAAAGTATATTATATCTTTGAATATTAGAAATGTTGATCATACAGTATCCAAAACACCTGGCAGAGAAAGGTGAAAGCTGTGTCATAGTCACACCATATATATCTGTACAAAATGTAATGTTCCTTTGCACTCTAAGTGTTTCATAAATTATCATTATAAATAAATTCAGTGTTTAAAAAAATACAAAAAATAAAAAATTACTAAAATTAAAAACAGAAAAACTTTTTGGTATATGAACCTTTATTCTGACAATGGTGCGAACACGCACCAAGATTGGTTGGTCCAAGACAATCTTTTTTAGATTTACTTTTCATAGGAAAGTAGTAGAAATATTTTTACCTAAATTTAAATAAAGCAGTTAAAAAATATTTCATGAATAGTGAAAAGTTTTTATTTTACATTACAATTTTATAATGTATTTATGAATATATTGCTAATTATTAAATTATTTAAGTACAAGTATCTTCCAGAATTCATTATTCTTATAAAATGAAGTAGGAGGACTAATTTTTTTTTACAAAATTTTTTTGTTATAATATATTAGGTCTGTTCCACTAGCTACTCCTATTAACTTTGCGTAACACTGTGTATACACAAGTGCGTTCCACCATAATATTTTCAAGTAAATGAGAGCATCTGAGAGATCGTTACATCCCTGTCGAAATTTAAAAATGCTACAAAGACTTTACTCGTACCTTTTATTTCAAATGAAATTTGTGTTAATATGTGAATCAGCTGTTGTGGTTTGAATTTAAATTTTTGTATTATTTATTTGCGCGGTACTGGTGTTCTCACCAGGCTTAACACAAAGCTGTTCCATGAGAATCTGTGTAAAGAGGGTAATTTGGCAATTTATTTGTGTTACGCTTTCAGTTTGTACTTTACTTGTGTTTTACTTGAGTTTTACTATGAGTAGCTCGTGGAACAGACCTGTCATATACCAATATAACAATGCGCAATATGTAAACATTTTGTGGAAGTGGTTCAAAAGTGTGGACTTATGATGAGTCTGAGAATCAAATTACTATGATTTATCATGTGAAGCAATATTTTTGCTTTTTAATTTTAATTATCAGTTTAAAATTTTTGACAGCTAAAATTACAAACAAAACTCTCGTGTAAAAGGAATTATATATAGTATATATCTTATACATAAAAATAACACGATTAGAAGGTAGTACTATACACATAAAGTCTATTAAATTCTCTGACCTTTCTTAGTCTTGTTTGTGCCTTTGTTATAGTCCGTGTGTTTTGCGGTATGTAGGTTTGTCACATATATAATTTTCATATAATTGCATATAATTATTATTGTGTTTTAACTATAAATCTTATTTAATATTTTATTATGATGTCAATATATCGCACACCAGAAAAGAGGCACAACTCGAAACTCGTCGGATAACGCATTCCTAACAAAAAAAGAGATATAACTGTTTTTTTTTTGACAGAAACAAAGTGGAATCTTTCGTGTTGATAGATAGGTAAACTATAAGTAAATTCTATATATGAACCCTAAATTGACGAGTTTCAAGTTGTACCATTTTTGAAGAGGTTGTGCGATATGTTTATAATAAATTCAATTATATTCAAAGCAGCTAGTAATATATATTTGCAAGTATAAAAAGAAATTCCCAGGATTTTTAATTATTTTAATCGACTCTGTGTGTAATAGAGGGAGACAATATACTCTAATAATGAGTGTAACTATATAGATTGGAATTTCAAGAAAGTATGTCAAAACGAAAACTGAACTAATTCTCACTAAAACGATTTTCTTATTGGTGCGACAGTAATGGCAGTACATTTTTTAAATTTTTAAATATATATTACAGTAGCAATCAAAAAAAACTATTACTTTTAATTTAAAAAATGATATATAAAATAGTAGAATGTATTTCAATTCTTTTATAACAGAAAAAATTTTCAAAGTTTTATTGTATTTCTATTATATCCAAATTGGTTGTTGAAAAAAGGAAGAGACATAAAGAGTAAAGAAAGGCATTATCTTACTATTTGTCTAGCGTTCCCCGAAAGCATTTAAGGTGGGTACAACTATAAATTTATATATAAAAATATTTTTAAGAATAATGATTTAATGTCAAAATATATACTAAGTAGGTAAGCGCAGTGTAGTAGGATACACGAATACAAATAGTATCAATTATCACATATAATTGCGGTGTTGTCTTAAATATAATTGAAAAGTTAGTAATAAAATGGAAATGGAAATGAAAATAGAAATGCCAGATACCGTCAAACAAGAATTGCCAACTGAACAAGTCGATTCCAAGTCACCCGAAAAATCGAGTAAGATAACTGGCTTTGTAAAATGGTTCAACGCGAAGAAGGGATTTGGTTTCATTAAGAGAAAGGATACTAATGAAGATGTTTTCATGCATCATAGTGCAATAATGAAAGACGATTCAAAAAAGCTGGTGCGGTTTATAGCAGATGATGAGGAATTACACTTCGATGTTATCACAGATGCAAGAGGTAGCCGAGCTGAAAATATTACCGGCCCTACAGGGCAACCTGTACGTGGTGGACAATTCTCTGGCAATAGATACAGAAATGGACGTACCCTTTCACGTTTGCAATTAATTAAATCTCCAAACACTAAAAATATAATTGCAGAAAGGGTCATCGGTATAGTGAAGTGGTATAATATAAAGATTCGGTATGGTTTTATACATAGATGTGATACCAATGAAGAGGTCTTTGCACATCAAAATGGTATTTATAAATACAATCGTAAGAAGATGGTTCGTTCACTTGGCGATGGTGAAATTGTTGAATTTGATGTCATATCAGGAACAAAAGATAATGTAGCGATTAATATAACTGGGCCAGCTGGAGTACCAGTACGTGGCAGTTCATTCATTGTTAACAAGAGTGACTTTTATAGAATTGGTACCCTAAATCAACGTGGCTTTAATGGTGCAGCAGGCAATCAACAGAATAACAATAAAAAGATTGTGAATAAGTGATAATATATAATTGAAATTTAATTATATATAATTATTAAAGTTAAATATGTTTTTTCCCATCCGGTTCAAAATTTCAATATTTACAATTTTGTTTCTTATTGTTAATAAAATAACCAATATAACAGCTATATTGAATCAGATACTGTACTACATACTGTTAATGTGTAGTATAAAGTTTTTAAAATGTACTGTCAAACACAAGTATGAATATATTATAAACAAATTGAAATGTATCTTTCCTCAAAAGACAGTTACCGAAATGTATACCAATTTGAAAAATATTTAAAAATATTATACAACTGAACTCGAATAAACTAGCTTACAAGATGACTGACTATATTCTATAAGCAAATAATATCGACATTTTTTTTGTTTTGTTTTTGTATGTGGAGATATTTTATTTTTATATTGCATTCTATGAACTGCGAGATTTATTCATAACCCCTGTCTACGCCTTGATTGGATTACTTTTTATGACTTCATTAGACTAAGCAATAATTGACCTCAAAACTGCATACTTCACCGAGGAGCCTGTAACCATTTTGAGATTTGATAACGCGGTGTTGGTAAGTCTGTCAATTTTCAGAAATAATCTCATGGCTCTAGGTCCCTGAGGAAGTCATTCGTCCTAATGTACCCTGGTACATGGAAAAGCCCTCTCAAGGCCTAGTTTTGTGCAATTTCTTGCTGACGAATAGTAGTGTTTAATGCCTTGCTGAATGCTACACACCCATATAGAAGTGACGGTCGAATTATTTGATTATATATCAGTTTCCTGTTCTTGGTATTCAGATTTTCATTTTTGAATAGCAGTTGGAGGTGATGAACATGTTTAAGACATGTGAATCGTTTGTCCACCGTAATGTCTTGATATTTAATGCTCTCTTCGCTTTCATTTATTGAATAAGCAGCAAAAATCCCTTCACTCAGTTATGACATTATTTTGCTTATTTTGATTGATTATGGGTTTTACTAAGTTTTCTATAAGAGAAGAATGTATTGCAAAAAACTCCAAAGATAATTAGCATAATGGTAAATTACTTGAACTACTATTCGTAAAAGCCACTGATGGTATCGATTACATCTTATAAATCATCAAAAAATTGTGTCAAACTAATGTCAAGCTGCTCAACTTTTAAACTCAGTGAAGATAAATTATATTGTTCCCTTATTCATATAAGCCAAGATAAGATACATATATACAGAGTGTAATTTCAGTGCTTTAAAAGTGAATAAATCTATAAAATGAGCCTACCTTAAAAAACTATGGGAATGCATGTATATCAACTATACAGGACCATTCGTTCGACAATATTCCTAGGAAAATTTCATAATTACAGTATGAGAATGGAAGTGAAAATCTATTTAATATCAGTTTTTTTTATAGAAATTGTTATAAAATATTGCAAATCCATAAAAAAACTACGAAAAACGTAGCATTTTATACTACAAAAATACATAGTAAGAAAGGTTTAATAAGAATTTTAGAAATCACAGGAATTGAATACCTCCCAATTATTTTTTAACATCACTGTAAATATGCTTACATCTAAATAAAGTAGAAACAATATAAAAATATAAAAATTCGAGCCAAATCAAAACGTTCACTTCATATCTCGGAATCCGCGATTATGCAAAAATCTGAGACGGGTGAGAAATGTTTCTCCAAGCTATAAAAAGCTTTAATATAGTATTAAAGAGGTAAGGAGACCTTTTATTCTAATATGAAAACTAGACAGTAAAGATTCTTTAGACCCACAAAAGAAGTTCAATATTGTCCACTGAATTTGACAACTGAGTTTAATGTTGTCGAAATAGTTACTAGTTGCCAAGTACAAAACGATGAATCAAGCGTACGATGGTTCATCGCAAAACTAATTTAAAATAAGATATCAGAACACCAAGAAGATTTTGGAAGATATACTATGTCCAGTACTTCAATGAGTGAAACTTTTTCTTGAACGAAAACTTTTTATAACCCAATCTAATAAACATAACATCTCAAGTTCTATTTTCACCTTAATCCTAACAGAAAGAAGAAAAAATGTGGATTACGAAACTGTGTGGTGACGTCATGCATTCAAAAGTTAACCTCAAAAGGTTTTTGGCTGATGACTCACGACTGGACTGATGAAATGGTCAGAAGTGAGACTCGGCTTCCTATTAAATTATCATATCTGATGTGGGTCTTTCTATAATTTCAGTTAAGCAGCTTAAATATGCACTTTCTTTTAAAATGACAGACTATAAATGGAATAAAGTCACACTTGTCAAATTCCACGTATGTCATGGTGCACCTGCAATCAGAAATAAATTAACTAACAACTGATTAATCTGGCTCGCGTTTCGAATATAATCCCAGTATTGAAGAGATACTATCTCTTCAGCAGGGATATAAAACCTATAAGAATCTCCTTTGGACGTCAACTGTCATAGATGTAAGTTCAAAGTATTCGGCAGTATACGGCAATGTTCAGTAGGTTTGTATTCATTTTAGGTTCTCTAGTTTTTGAATATCTGAGTTATATTTAGGTGGTGATTTCAAATTTGAAAAAAGAGTTTTATATTAAATGAACAGCTAAATTGTGTTTGTAATTGTAATATAACAATCACCTCACTTTTTAAGCATAAGTAAGCCACTTTTTTATTGAAACGGACTATTACTGGTAACATATGTAATATCTACTAACAACAGGCAACTAAACGTATTCTAAAGAGAATCGATTAAATGTCTTTAATTATTAACACAAGGTATGTTCTTCTGACATGAATGCTACAATATGTGTATTCTTTTCATATAATCGCTCGAAAAAAAAAAACACGGGGTGCTTTAAAATTAACGATCACGATCTTGTATTGTCTAAATACCCCGCTAAATTCAAACAATTACTGCATACACTTTTACCATTCAACAAAACCTATTAACCTGAAATTTGAGAGAGAATTGACGAGACCATTGGTTTTTTGGGGTGTTACATGGCAAGGAAGCATGAATTCGAGCATCCAAAAAAAGGCTGTGTACTACAGCAGTGTTTTCGAAGACATGGTTTCTCTAAACATTACTGTAAGTTGAATATGGAATACATAGTGACATAGTGGTTCTTTTTAAGGACCAAGAAAGAATGCCTCAATGCTTAAAGGGTAAAATGTGGATTTTTTAAAAGCATTTAAAGCTGCTATTAACAACAGTAGGTGAACAATCACTAGTCTATCTTTTGCACCGTATATAGAGGTTATGGATAAGATTTTTAAAGATTCCCAAAAAAATGTGAAACGCTCTGACCCTCCATGTTGGATTTGAAAGAGTAAACATGATAATTGCCTCTAATAAAGCAGTTCTACTGGTGGATATAAATACCAATCCAATTTTTATTCCATCTTCATCTTTCATACTACCGTCAATATCTTAATTATATCTTAATTAAACTATCTTAATTAATTCCAGACTTGCCATCAAAACTACTGCTATTTTTATGTTGTAAGACGTTCTTACAAAAGCATAGGCCTATTCTTAATAAAAGTGTTAAGAAAAAGTCAAGAACTCCAAACTTTTAAAATATATAGTAGACTATGCAAAATTTCTTTTAAAAAAATTTTAATGAATTAAAAATATTCTTTTTTAAATTTTATAAAAATTAGTATATATTTTTCAAACATTTACACCTCTATTTCAAAAGTGGTACTTTCAAAATTAAGCCCACTAATTGCTTTTTAATTAAATAAAAGTTAATAATTTTATAAAATTATTAATTTCACTTTGGTTTTTTTTTTACTTTTTCTAAATTTTTTGGTGCTTCTTATATTTTTTTTTATTATATTATTTATTTTATTTTTTGTTATTTTTTTATTTTTATTTTTTATTTTTATTTTTTATTTTTATTTTTTATTTTTATTTCAGAGTCTGTTATCTAAAGTGTTGGAATTTTCAACGATTTGTCTGGGTTTCTAATCGAAACAGTTCTAATTCAATAGAAGGCTTCATTAGAAGACATTATTGGCTCAAAAACCTGCTTTTTTATATTTGATTAGAGGAAAGTTCCCAGATTAAAATTAACAGAAATTCAGAGGTTTATTTTTTATCTTGATTTCAAACACGGAATAAAGAGCATTGTGAATTTCACATTTATGGTTAGTACGATATATTTTTCAAGTGTTAAATAAGAGAATCTATCTATTTTCTATTATTAAGTTAAAATTGACATTTATAATATATTTTACAAATTTTCGTTTTAAATAATACTGTAAAATTATAAAAAACAGTTTGTAAAAAACATAAAATTGTAGATTGGTTGGATTTCATAAACAAGGAAAGTGACCTTTGTTTTAAATTGAAATTAGCGGGAAAAATACAGAAACCAGGTAATACCAACTGATGCAAAAATAACAATTTAGATATATGTATAAAAAATAATTACAATATTTTTTAGTGCCGGTTCAAAAATGGAGAACGTACAAAGTCCAGCTGAACAGTTATATCACCAGACCGTTATGGAGTTCATGAGTGGATTACCTTGCCATGACCCTAAAAACTTTTCTTTATGTGATAAAACTAAAGGATTCATACAGCAGAGGCCGGTCGATATGTTGCAAATCTGCACTGAAGAGATCACGCCTGCACAGCGTATTGTACTGGAACCGACTAATTGTGTTCGTAACGAGATAAAAAAGAAGAAAAAGAGGAAAAAGAAAAAGACTTATACTAATGCTCATCCATCTTTATTCTATCCATCGAGAGTACTTAAGAACAAACGTGTTCAAAGAATGTAAAATATTTATTTACAATGAAAATTTTATTTAAAGTGTATCTTATTAATACAATTCAACATGTTAAATGTTAAAATTATAAGCAATTTATTTCTATAGTCAATAAAGATTACGTGATATAATACTAGCGGATTTTATTTAAAAAAGAAAATAATCTAAGTTTTGAAGTCAGAGAACCTAAATTGAAAGCATATTGAAGTCACAAATGCTTGGGTGTGAAAAACAAACGACAAGATGGATGACACATTAGCTCAATTATGTTTAAAAAGGTTTCTAGGAATTCTATGGTAATAGACCAATTGTGGATCCATTGGTACACACTGCAAACAAATGAACCGTCGAAACAATAGACTGCTCAAAGAAAACCAGCTCCGTAGAAGGCAAATAACCTGGTTTCGGTTAGAAAAGCCTTACTTAAGTAAGAACAAGATAAACGTAGTCCATAAAATTTTTTTTCTTAGCACTTTAATGGCATTTAAAGAGTTTATTGCCTTTAATTTTACGCCAAAAAAAATATGTTTCTACACCAAAATTAGAGTTGTAGATATATTGTACCTATGGACATAACAGTAAAACGTGACTTTTATAAAAGTTTAGAAATGATGCAGAAATGATTTATATATATATTTATTTTTTCCGTACTCGTACTCGTATTTATTGGTGTCTAATCAAATCTGATTTTGCGCTTCCAGTATAAAATTTAAATTATGATCACATAAAATTGGCATAAAAACTCAAAGGAAAATATAAAACATTTAAACTTTTACTGGGTTTGTGCGTAACTGTGCACTTTGAAAATCTAGACAGGTTCCAAGCATTCAAAATAAATGATTTAGAACTTATGCTTCCCGAATAAATAAATTTCACTCCATGCGGAGTTGCTTAATTTTACCGCCCGGCACAATTAGAAATTTTTCGTGCATAATTTCTATGCATAATTAATGCAAATTATATACAATCTGTTTTTAGATTTTTTGTGGTCGCTTTCTTGTTTTTTGAGGTTATGATTATATATATATTTTTTTTTTCTCTGTTTGTTCTCTGTTTTATTATACTCTTTTAGGTGAAACAAAATGAATTTTTCATCAAGTCTAACAACATAATTAGCTCATAAAATTACACAGCAACAAGCGTCCTGAAACTGTTATTGCGCCCATCACACCATCGCCCTATCCACAAATAAGGACTTATGCGAAATGCACAGACTGTCGCTCCCGAACTCGAACTCCAACTCCAACTGGAAAACGCCACGCGCTTTCAAACGCCGTGGCAAAATCTGACGAGTGGCGGTATTGGCAGTGTATTTGGCATGCCAAGTGGCGGCCGTGGGCTGCACTGGGATATGTACTTGACTTCTGTACCAGCACGAGTCGCAAGGCTAATTAGAATTAAATGCTTTGTTTTTGACGGCGTGGAATAGGTGAGTTTTAAGCTGTGACCCGTGTAATTATTGTTAAACGTTTTTTTTGCGTGCAGTTAGACGCGAAATAACAAACAGATTACATATATTTAAATATTTGTACATTTTTTAACAGTGTATTTTTTGATAATGTAAATAAAATGGTCCGGTAAGCTCTTTGAAATTTTCAAATGTAAGTAAAAAAAAAAACTTATTTAAGATGGACTGATAGAAATAATGTATGTGTTATACACTGCATACCACAAAAATATTAACACGTTAATTTTATTTACAATATCTTTGAGACGTTTTATCAGGGAATGCTTCTTTTAAAATTACAACAATAAGCACATGTGTTTGTGATTATGCGGGTCGCATAGAAATGATGGGTCACATACTAAGAGAAATAAGTATATCCGCCCCTTAAACAGACAGATATATTAATGATTAATAAACGCAGATTGTTGGAGATTAGATGAAGATAACTGTTATCAATAGTTGCTGCTGTAGACTCGATAGGCAATGGGGTTGTACATTTATTTTCGACTGAGAAAACTAACGCTATATTAGTCGTTCAGCCTTATTGTGCATTTGTAAGGTGTAGAAACATGAAGGTTATTACAGATTGAGCCACAATTAGGTGTACTTGTATTGAAAGAAAAAAATTCACGAAAACTACTGCATCCACGTGAACCACAAATTTTGGGTTAAAGTGGAAAAAATGAAGCTAAATTTTTCATTATGCACCTTATACTTTTATCATATGCACCTCATACATTCTTGTGGAATAAACAGAATATTGATGGATTTTGTAGGAATGCTTTGTCCATCAAGTCTGCTTAATAAAAAAAAGTTAAAAAATAATAAATATTAGTTTCAAAAACGAGCTCTAAGCACCCGGCTCCATTTGTCTGAATGGGGTTAATTTGAAGATTATGTTCTAGTTTAAAAGATAGAGCAATCAGAAAAAAAAAACACATGTGAAAAGACCATGTCTTCTGTAGTGTGAACAGATTAAACACTAAACCAAACTTAATGTAGTATTCTGAAGAGATCACGCACATAAGAGAATGGACCTGGAGTACTCTGTCAGGGAGAAACCGGCGACGAGTTGTTATGGCCCGCTGAATAAGCAAGTGACTAACACTATATTTAAGAAAAAGATTTCGTTGCAGATCACTTAATTTATTTGCCTTACACTGTATCCATACCAGAGTTCTGTTATTAATATCAGCTGTTATTTCGACTTGTTTTTGCTTGCAATAGTAAATCAAGTTGAAATCAAAAGATTTGTGCGGATATATTGATATCTGATATAAGGGTTAAATGTTATGTCAACAAAATCTAGTTAATATCAATTCGAACTATTGATCACTGTAGTACAGTATTGTAGACTCCAATACTATGGTCTTGTGAGCAGTTTTGAAGAATAAATGGATTTTCCAAATTTCCTTGATTTCGTAAAAATTAAATTAATTTAATTTTGAAAGTGTCCATACTGTCCCAAACTGAGGAAATCAATTGTTTTTTTTTACAAATCGAATGTTAAAAATTACATGCTCCAAACACCATTTGTATCTGGAAAACTTTAAAAGATGATTATTAGAACTATATAGGATGGCATTCAGTAGTTTTATTAGGTTAAGTGGATTTCAGGTATGTGAATTATTATTTTTCACTCTATTTTAAATATTCTTTGAAACATCCCTTCATTCCAGACTTCGTAACATCTATATAACATAGGTATATAATAATGATCTCGAGTTGCAACGTTGTGTCAACATTAAAAAGGAATAAATAAAAATATGTATAATTGTTTGTAAATATAGAATATAAACTAAAATAAATAGAAAGTCAATATTATTTTTATAGTGAATATGTTTACACTGTAGAAGATGACTTATAATTCTCAAGTGTATTTTTGTGAAAATATTCATAGCACGTAAAACTTAAATAAATTAAGTTATTAATAACTTAACTTAATAAAATAACTTAATAAAATAAGTTTTTTTTCACATTTTCAGTTTTTGTTTCTTTTAATTTTCACTTTTTTCAATTATTTTTTTTATTAATATTTTATTCCAATTTTTTTAAAATTACTTATTTTTAATTATTTTTTTATTTAGAAGTATAGCAAAATATTCATTTTGGTAACTTTTCTTATTTTGTATAATATATAGAAAGATCAGACGGTATTGACTATTTGTGATTTACTCATAATCACATTATTTTAAATTTCTATTATATTGTTTTAGTTTTTTATTATGAAATATTTATAAAATTGTCCATATTGTACATATGCTAGGTCTAAGTATTTTATACCTGCGGTTGCCTAAGCCTTAGGTGGTGACTTCTAAGAGCATGAAACAAAATAACTCGTATGGGGAGTTTCATTTTTAATATTTACCCAATATACAGGATTCATATGAAAACTGACATATATCTACCATACACCAAAAACAAAATATTAAATTTGGTAGTGCCTATACTATTACATTGACTTTTTTACGGATATACCTCGAAGAAACTAATACGTTATGCATATTGAAATGTTTTGTTTTGCCCAGATATATACTTCGCACTTTTTTGATTAATTACCCCAAAGTGTAGCTTATGATACAGAGCATTCGTTCCGTATTAGATAATTTAATTCTCAGATTCAGTACCCGTACCCGCGCTCAGGACCCGCATAGTACCTAAATGAGCTCTACTCTACCCAAATGGCCAGATTGCATACTGAATAAATATTATGTTTAACAAAAGAAAATGATTGTATCTCGAGATTTCGAAAGCGACTTATAGCTGAAAGTAGATAAGAATTTTTTATCACTAAATCATTAAAGGCAACTAGTGGCAATTAAAAATAGGGAGTAGGGTGTTCCACTTCTGGAACAGTGCAATTAGTTGTAATCTGGTTTATATGGAACACTTTTTAAAATCTATACGTATTATTTTATAAAAATATTGATGAAAAATGATTTCTTAAAGAGCGTAAATATATTTGGGTCTACAGTTTTTTATAGTTTTGTATAAGTAACTTTAAATATGGCTGTATCTCACGAATGGTGTAATCAATGTTTCCTTTCAGAGTTTGACTCATTGTTGACTTATCAACTATTAACGGAAAATCACTCGATCTGGGAAGTTAAACTAAAATTTCAGTTTTTGTCACAATATATTTAGTTATCAAAAACTGATTTGTCAAATGGCAAATTTATTATCAATTATTTAAATGTAATTATATAGCAAAAAATTACTAAATATAAGTGGACCAATATATACGTATATTCAAAAACTATCCTATATATTGAGTTAAAATTTAAAATGATTTGAGATAAAAATCTGCTAATAAAAGTGCACCTACCCAGCATTTTATGAAATTATTGTTCATATTCGAGTCCTCAACCTGATTAAAATAGTCATAAATGCGCTCGTTTTCTGATCAAAAATGATTCTTTTGTCGAGAAAAAATGTTTTTCTACCCTCAACTCTTTTTGACTTCTTCATATTCGAGTCCACTGATGGATTAAAATAGTCAGAAATGCGCTCATTTTCTGATCAAAAATGATTTTCTCTTTTGTCGAGAGAAAATGTTTCTCTACCCGCAACTCTTTTTGACTTCTTTATATTCGATTCCACTGATGGATTAAAATAGTCATAAATACGCTCATTTTCTGATCAAAATGATTCTTTTGTCGAGAGAAAATGTTTCTCTACCCGCAACT